TAATTGCTTTACAGAAGTAATTGTAATTTTAACTTTGGTATTTGGAACACTGATATCTTAAATAACATGGTCACTTCAGATTGGCACCTAATCCTCAAGCATTCTACCCTTGACACCTCAAATATCTGACATCTCAATTGAAAGTTATTTCTTGTCCCATAAGTTCAAGACAATGAGGTTTGACTGTATTTACTTTTTTAATTTAATAATTAATCATTAAGATATACATGTATTCATAAATAAATGATCATAAAACATTCTTGTACAAGATGTTGCAATTTCCAACCTTTCATTTGCACTCTACAGGATCATAACAAAGATATCCTAATTCCAGTAATAGAAAATGCATGTTTATATAAAAATGTTTGGTATTTTCCTTTTCAATCAAACTTAATCAATATGAGATTGATAAATTATGGGATTTAACAATGATACCCCCCCCCCTTTTTTGTGTTATAAGATCATTTCATTTCCAATTCAATAGCTAGCAAATAGAATCCTCAACAAGAGCACCTAAAGATACGAGACTTGAGAAAGGCCCTTCGTAGATGTTTACTGCTCCCAGACCCACACAATTAAGATCCCCCTGTTTGGAAGCCCAACTCCAGTGTAAATCTGTAATAACTTACGATATGCAACTGAACTTCTGACTTACCTATATATCAGAGCCTCCTTTTCACAACATTAGTCTAAAATTTCATGAATACAAAGCACTGAACTCCAGGAAAGCTCTGGAGCATTTAAATAAATATAACAATACTCTTCTCTGGGCAAGAAAGCTGGTTTCATTCTCCCTTCTATTTAAATTCATCACAGACTAGAGATAAGGAGGTTTGCTTATATATATATATATATATATATATATATATATATATATATATATATATATATATATATATATATATATATATATATATATATATATATTTATATTTTTATTTATTTATTTATTTATATATATTTATATATATATATAATCTACTGCTCTAACTTTAATTACAAATTCTTAGGGCTTTCTTTGGTTCTGATGCTTTCATAAATTAATTATTTTGCCAAACAAATCATTGTTCAGTCTGAGCCCTGTTGTAAGTAGTGCCTAATAGTTGGATTTGAAAGATTCACCAAGTTCTACCTTTACAATTACACAGAACATTGTATCTGTTGTATTACATACTACCTGAATTTATACAAAAACTAAATTTAATCCTCTCACAAATAGAAACCTAATATAAATGTATAATAGGTCCAGAACATTCTACTAATATAACCGGACATATGGCAAAGTTAAGGCTGTTGTACAATGTGACCTAACAAAGCATCTATGCACAATCTATTGAATTATTTTGACCTTAGTTTTGAACAATTCCAGGCAACTGCAAGTCTTTTGTCCTTATTTTGAGAGAATTCTATGGTAAAATCATAATATGCTTTGAATGTATGAAAGATTATTTTATTGTGACATAATTTTGTAGGATTTACTGGTAGTTATATTTAAATACATTTTATTTTCAGCTTGACTTTCTGGTACTTTTGTTTGAAACTTAACTTAATAGTTTTTTCCTTAGTAGCCCCCCCCCCCTTTCTTTAAAACAGGAAATAAATTCTACACTCTAAGCTTGAAAGGTAACACTTTAAGCAAGGATTTTTTTAGAAGCGATATCTATACACTGTATAAGCAGACTATTGCTAATATTTTGGTCTCATTCTACAATGAAAAAGATTAATTAAGTATAACCATTCAACTGATTTATTTATTTCAAAGGTGGTGGATGTACCTGATATATTAATTGGATCGTGATGATACATATATTCAATGTCTGGTTTTCCAACTGGTTCACAGATTATTTGCTATTCTTTTCTTTGACTTATATTTGGGCCAATCCTCACTGTGTCCAAGAAAAGGTCCGACCGAGTTTCCATATTGTTGTTCCCCTATTCTGGGTTTGCATTTTCCGATTTCGACGCAGTATGAAACAAAAAGACAATAATTAATGTTGATAACCAATATTTGATCATTTAATAACAATACGAAGGTAAAGTATTTTTTTTTGGCATAACTGCGTGTGTATCGTCTGCTTCGTAAAAATTTTTAATCCAACATCATCCGCCTAATTTAATAAACATCAACAGTAATAAAAATTTTAAAATGGTTGAAACACAATACATAAATGGAAAATTATACGATTTTTTTTAAAATTACAAAGCAAAAATTAGATGTATTTTTTGCAAGCATTTGTTATGCGTCTTTACCTTTGAAAGGTTCATCAGAAAGGAATGTGAAGAAAAATCTGGCCCTTTATATAGACAACACTTGCTGTGTCATCTAAGCCCGACTCTTAAAAGCCAAAGTACAAGGGACCTATATACAAGTATATAGGTCCCTGCAAATATACTTTTCTCGTAAAAAAAAGGCATCTATTTTGTATACACAAATAGATGCTAATATTTGTTAGTTGTTGTTTTTTTTTTTTTTTTTTGGGGGGGGGGGGGGTCAACAATTTTTGTAAGTCACTTTATTACTGTGTCGTCTCTGAAGCTATTTATAGTGTTTTATTTTTCTATATTTAGTTCAAAGTGTCGTGAATATTTTAGAAACAAAATTAAATCAATATGCTGAACATGGGTCAACCATTTACAAGCAAATTGAAATCGAAACGACGTTCATGGAAGATGACGTCACGTATTCATGAGAGCCTACAACCTATTTCAAATAACACTTAGTAGAAATGGTTTCAAGAGTAAGCAGCATCTCTATTTATTCTTTCGCAATGAAAAATATAATCCTACAGCTTTGAATCATGTGACAATTTTAAAGATAAGCAGCAATTTTATTTCTAGAAGGGTTATTATGTAATGTTTTTTTAAAGTAAGTCAATCGTTTAAGATGGCTGCGGTCTTTCTACGACTGGTGATATTTAGTCTCAAATCGATATTATTGTAGACACCTCTAAAATTTTAACTGTACCCTTTAAGAAGACTTGGGGGTCATGTTCATTTTTTAAAATGTATTTAATATTATAGCAAGAACATATGACATTTTTTTTCTTTACTGAATAAGTATAGTTTATTACCAGAAAATCCATACACGCATTTCATATTTAAGATACATGTACGTAGTACATGTTAGGTAATTCATTGGATACTTAGCCTCCTTAATTGATTATTGATAACACTTTTATTAATTGCTAATTATTAACACATGAATCGCATTGAAATGTAGAAATAAAAAAAGAGAATGGTATATCTGTAATCACTTTTTATTCGCAAGAACTTTATTTTCGCGTTATTACTTGAGCCTATTTGATCGAGAGAATTTTGTTAGTAAGGATTATGACAATTAAAACCATAACTTGCAAAATTTTGTCTCCCTAATAAATATCAAATAGCCATCTCACGAATATAAGGTGTCCTGAAAATATAGTGATCTACAGTACGCAATACTTATTTTGAATAAATACAATATAATTTCATCACTTCATTTCCTTTAAAATCCACTGCAATGTCCCAAACATCCGGCACTTAACTTTATCATTGTTAATCATTTAGTTAGAAACTTGGGAAGGATTTTATCTTGTTGATTTATTTTGTATGTAATAAAGCAGCTTCCTTGAGCGCTAATCGAATTAAATAAAGCATGTCTATGTATGCATGACCGCAGGAGACGGAAATAAATGAAAATGTCTTGCGGGGGTATCCCTCTCCTAGCCTGAATGACTTATGTGTATGTCTCAAAACGCACCTTTGGGTATTGAACGTGCTTACATGTATTTCTTCATTCTTATCAACGTATTTGTGGCCTTTCCAACTTTACATGTAGATTAGTAAACACCAATGAACAATTTCTTTCTCGTAAAAAGCGAATATCGTTGATGGGTATTACGTTGACATAGTGTTCACAAGAGAAACCATATATTCACAAGCTTAAATATAAATTATGGACACATCTCTTTGGATGTGGATTCATGGGGATCGGTATTTCAGGACTTATTTTGGTAGTAAAGCCCATTTAGGACCTATCAAAAATATTTTTTGATAAAACGAATTTGTCGAATTTGCTAACACGAATTTTTTTCGTTATAACAATTCTTTGAATTGTTACTATAATAAAAGATTTCTTGAATTCGTTATAACGAATTCCAAAAATTGTTTTAAGGAATTTAATTTGTTTAAACGTATTCGACAATTCGTTATATGGAATTCACAATTTTTCTATAGGCACTAATTGTAGATTTAACGAATTGAATTCATAATTACAAAATTAAGAATTCGTTTAAACGAATTTAATCTGTTAAAATTATAACAAATTGTTGATTTCGTTATTACTAAATTCAACGAATTTGTTTCATTAACTTAATTCGTTATAACGTATTCAAAAAAAATGATATAACCAAATAAATTCGACAATTCGTATGGCTGTATATGATGCACATGTGTATATATAAATCAGATCTTTAAATATTAAGAAATTGTAAATTTTCTATAATGTTCAAATGTCTTCCTTTTTTAATGTGTATAGTTACAATTTTTGTCACTTTAAATGAGATTATTGAGAAACTTTGACTGAAGCTTAACTTATTTATTCTATTTACCGGTATATAAAGATAGATTTAGTTGCTATTAACATAACTTTTTTGTTTCAAAAATCGCTTATGTAATTTGCCCTTAATTTAAAGATTTAAAAGTCTATATCTAATGTGCTTAAGAATTTTGATTAAAATGAAAAAAAAAAAACTGTTCTTTTAAAAACTTTTCTACCCTAAACATTTTAATCTTACTAACCCAATATGAAGATTACAAATACGAGTAAGAATATCTGTAATTTTGTAATTAACACGAGGAAGGATAACACATCTTAATGTCATAAAAAATATAGATGTGAGATTAAAGATTTATCGCTCTTTTGATCAATAAAAAAATTAATATCATTGAAACCCATCTTCTTCCTCCTTTATTACAAAAAAGCTTCATTTAAACAAAATTATTGCTGAAGGTAGCCGAGCGGCTCCTAGGAACAGTCCAAACTTATAAATTCAAATACACATATCTTCTCAAAATGGCGAGTGAAGATGAGGTATACCATGTAGTAGAAGATATTGAGGTCCAAGAAATCGGTCAATCTGCCAGAATGGGCGTTCCGGACATCCAGGAACCCGAGCCCGAAGAGCCGCAGCCAAGAATTTGGCAGTTCTACACAGCAACCCGGGTACTTTCACTAGTCCTCATAGTGGCCAGCTTCATTACTGGATGGATTGCGTATGCACTGATGCCTGCTGATAAAGTAACAAATACAATATAATATGTATTTTATAAATTTTATTTTAAATCCAATATTGATATTATTTACAATATTAAGATATATTTTATGTTTCTTTTTAAGCAAATGTGCTGGGCAAATAGCAGTGCTTTTCAGTGGGTCTTATTATGTTCCGTTTTTATACCCATATTTATCCAACCCCAACCCCCATTTTTTTTTTATTCATTCAATTTCTATTTGAGATTGTAAGTAATCGTCATTGTTCTTTTTTAATGATTCCAATTTTTTGATGAAGGCTTCTAATTTTTCAAGGATGTAATTACAATTTCACATTCATCGCATTTCTTCTATAAAATATTAACTAGGTACAACTTTAAAAAAATTCTTTGAGCAGTTGATCAATAGGCTTAGCTTATAGTTTGAGTTATAATAACCCTAACATGAAAATGTCTCTTCTGTTTGGAGGTTTTTACTTCTTTCTAATGTGTTAATGTTGAGAAAAGGGGCCGGGAGATTTGACCCCAAAAAAATTCAGATATTTATATCACATCACAAAGACAACTCGAGAAATAAATTAGGTTTTTTTTTAATTTTTTATAAGTAAAGCTCTAAATTAATTTTGGAAATGCTGGTAATTTGGAGAGGAGCACAATTCAAAAAAAACAAAAAAGTAATTTCAAGTAATTGCAATTATTTATTATTATAAGCTCAATATACATAAAATTTAAAAATGCGCTAATTTATGCACTGTAAAAGGAATTTTGAAAGAAGACACCAATTTATTTATCTTGGTAACTTGTGCAAACTAATTTCATTATCAACTAAAAAAAATATTGAAAAAAAATTGGAAGAAATTTTAATTCAAATATAAAAATTAAAGAAAAGTGTAATAATGAATTTTTCTGAATTTGACTTTGTAGAAATTTCTAAACGCCGAATGCAAAGCCGGGGATTTGAAGCGCAGATTCATGATCCTACAAGTCACTGGGACAGTCATTGCTCTCGCGCAATTGATCAACATACGCTATCAACTAAAAGTTAACAGATCCGAAAAGTACAAAATTCAAGAACCATTGAATTATGTGGACGGTAGAACGGAGGTCCTGTTTATTCTTCTTTTGGTTTTCATTCCTCAGCTATCTATTATGGCCGATTTCGATACCAAATGCCGTTTAAATACGACATCTACTACCCGATGGTGCGATAAACAGTCTTCTAACATGGATGCCCGGGATTCTGCTGATGTCAAGGTCCGACTGGCATGCGCAATTATTGGCTTCCTAAGCTGTCATTTCCGGTTTATTTTCAGTAGAAATTTGCCGAGGTTGGGCAGAAAAGGAGTGGCCGACGAGTTCCAAGCTTACAAATTAGAGAAAACCAAGCTAGTCCAAATTCTTACTTTTCTCGATAAACATATGCCACGTATCCTAAAATTTGTTGGGATGGATTGGCTCTGCATTTGTCGAAAGTAAATATAGCATTATAAAAACCTTAAGATTTTAATAAAGATTTATATAGTTAACAAATTTTAAAAGTTAACATTTTTTTTCACTTTGTATGACACCATAGAAGATGCAAAGTCATATCGAAGTAAAATCAACTTCTTTCTTTATGGCTGAATTCAACCAAAGATAATCACATTACAGGCTATAGAAGCAGTGTATTCTTTCAATGAAGTGTTTTTTCTTAATCGATCCATTATAAGAAACTTATGAATAATAATTAAATAATTCATTCAATTATACAGGATTAAAATTCCCTTACCATGTTTTCTTGGTTACTGCATATTGGACCATTTTACGCCTGTTTGGAGATGGATGTACTGTGTCTTTGAATGCTGGATCGGGCGGCTTACAATCTGTCCGAAAAAAGAACGAGGCGAAGTCTGGTGTGTGAACAGGATCCGGAGATGCCGTAGAAGACCTGGGTTTTTTTGCATTAACAAAGAAGATCCGTTCTGGCTTGGCGAGTACACAGTGTTTATCTTGGGTTTAGCAACGGTTCTGACTGTACATTACGTGAGCATTTATTTGTGTTTTATACCCGGAGGAGGGTCAAAAGCATTGGACACATTGTTGGGATTATACAAACACATTTTGGTGTTTTAATAAAATACTGGACGTATGAAATAAAAAATTAATTAAACCCAAGTCAGATTTCCAAAAAAGACCAATGACCGACGTATTTTGAAGCAAAAATTGGATTCTCCGGGCGACAGTCGGCAGTTCATCGACCGTAGTCTTGCCCGATATTGGTTCCTTTTTTTTATTCGGTAGACCAATTTTGTGTCCGTCGGGACCAGTTATATTTCTTTCTGCATCGGTGGCCGATTTCAATAATTGAGGCAGTTATTGAATATAGTCCGTCGAGAAACCCTCGATCATCGCCCGACCATCCGCAGAAGTTTGGTAAGTGGATCGTCGGTCGGTCGACATTAAGGTATTGATGAAAATCAAACTGCGGCTCAATGATTGAAGGACGATTGACTGACTTATAAATATTTCAACTTATGAAGTCATCGGTGTTCGTAGGAATTAATGTGACTGCTCCGCGTCGCCCGATACTAGTCAGGGCCATAGGAACTGGAGGGCACGGGGTCCGACATAGAATACTAAAGAAAACATAGCTACTTTATGCTGGTGTCCCCTCAATAATAACGTCTTATGACTTTTTTTGGGGGGTTATCAAGGAATTTTAATACTTGGTAGTGCCCCCAAAAAGAAAATGTATGGCTGTGTCCCCTCAAAGTTAAATTGCTTCTTACGGGCCTGCTAGTGTCGGCCGATCATGTTTTTCAGCCGACGATACAAGAAAAATTTGGTCGCCAGACCATCTGTTTAAATGTGACTTAGGTATTAGCCAGCAAAATGATCTTTATCTTTATAGTTAATTAGTGTATATTAGTTACACGACTTTTACTGAGATTTTTTGTTTTCTAAATTTTTATAAACTTTTTTTTAGATTGTTTATCTTTAGCTTTCTACTTTCCTCGATTCTTAGATACACAAAATACCCATGTTTTAATCCTTTTTTCAAATTGAGAATAAATAACTTTAAAGCAACTTTATTGTTAAATACTTATTGGTCTTTAAGCTAGATGTTTTCAAATGTAGTATATGTATGATATTTTATTTACATATAGGCTGAAAAACATGCCTCTAGAATGATGCAAAGACAAAACACAGCAACTTAAAAAAACAAGGAATAGATAGATAGATAGATAGATAGATAGATAGATAGATAGATAGATAGATATATATATATATATATATATATATATATATATATATATATATATATATATATATATATATATATATATATATATATATATATATATATATATATAACCGGTTACTGGGTCGGTACGGTGTTATCGGTTGGAAGATCTGTAAATTTCGGACGCCCGTTGAGGCCAATTAAGAGGGAGAAATTTTTTTATTGCGCTTAAACGCAAAACAATGCGTTTAATCGCAATGATCATTGCGTTTAAACGCAAAAGTTTACATTTAATTGCAATGTATATTGCGCGCGTTTAAATGCAAAACACATTGCGTTTAGTCGCGGAAGATTGCGATTAAGCGCAATCTTTTTCTTTTAAACAAAATATTTTTTTGTATTTTAACGCAATAATACTTTTACGTTAAAACGCAATTTTTCTTTTAAACACAATAATTTTTGCGTTTAAAGGCAATAATTTTGCGATCAAACGCAATAATCTTTGCGCTTAAATGCAATAATCTTTGCGTTTATTAATAAATGCAATAATTTTTGCGTTCAAACGCAATAATACTTTAAAGAATTCGTTTTGCTTTTAAACACAATGATACTGTAATTTCAAAATCAGACATCAATTACCAAAGCTTATAATTCCTAGAATCAGACACTTTAATAAAAATCCGTTTGTTTTTTGTTTTTTGTTGTTTTTTTTTTACAAAATGTTCTATTTTTTTTTTTAATTGTAGTTAAACAATGACATCCTAACAACTAGAATGACTTAAGCGTATTAGATCCCACACTTTCAATGAAGCGTTTGATCAATTGCTTATGTATCACAACTAATTAAAAGAACATTTCAGTGTTATTAAAAGCACTTGTCAATTTGGTAGTACACATAGATAATTTGATTTTGATTTTGATCTCATATGATTCCACCACCAATGTTCTCATGTTTACTGTACGCAACCAGTGGTAGAGTTTTGAATATATATATATTTAAGTCTAAATACTTCATCATGTTGTACGTAATTCCAACATTTCATCAGTCGTTTCCCGAACCCCTTTATACATGGGTTAAACTTTGTGACTGCAAAGTGGGGGATAGTTTTTTAACCATTTTTTCTTCTTAAGTCTTTCATTTAGAAGATCCATTCTAATTGTTTGCAGAAATTGTTTCAAAGTAAAAAAAAAGTAACAAAAGAGAAAATGTGATTTGTGATTGTAAACAAATGACCAAAACATCATTAATAATAGAGAGGTCTAATTAGTTTAAAACATCTCGTTCTTAGGTTGCCTTTGTTTTAAAAAATCAATTTTTTTCTCCTCTATAAATTCAAAGCAAATCCTTTCAGAGTGCGTTTGCTTGGAGAAATCGGATATTATAAAGCTAGACAAGATTATAAAACTGCCTTGGTTTTTTTCAGTCTAGCAGGGTATACATATTTGCTCATAACCAGAGGGTTTTGTGATTTTGTTACACTTATGAGAACTTATGACACTCATATATTCTAAAAAAAATAAATTTTCACCTGAGGATAGATATCATAAAATCACAAAAATAAAACGAAATATCTCCTCAATCAAAATAGCACAAAACCTACTGGTAAAAGAGAGTGGATTAAAATATTTGAATTAAATGACAAAAAATGGAAAATGATTATACCCGCACTTTCTAAAGAAAATACGGGTATATTGTTGTTACTGGTTGGTGGTTCATGTAGATGTGCAGTAATGTTTTGGAATTTTCATTTTCACCTGCGGGTCAAATAAGGGTCGAAAAATGACGTTTTTATGCAAATAGCCCCTGGTTCCCCGAACTCCTCTTACATTTTACACAGTAGCCTAATCATCCTTTTGGAGATGGTTAGTGGTGTCATGTAGATGTGCAGTAAGGTTTCGGAATTTTCATTTTCACCCTAGGGGTCAAATGGGGGTCGAAAAATGACGTTTTTTATGCAAAAAACCCCTGGTTCCCAGAACTCCTCTTAGATTTTACACAGTAGCCAAATCATCTTTTGGAAGATGATTGGTGGTGTCTTGCAGTTGTGCAATAAGGTTTTGGAATTTTCATTTTCACTATTGGGGTCAAATGGGGGTCAAATGACGGTTTTTATACAACTAGAAATATGTCCATAGGACATGAATGCCCCGCCAAGGGTTTATCAGTAATGCAACATGAAAATTTGTATTAGTGTATGAAATTTGATGAGGATATCTTGAATAGTTTCTTTAAAATTGAAATCTAAAAAGTTGGATATAGATAATAAACTCTCACCAAATTATGTATAAGTGCATAAGCTTACATAAATATATCTTAAATGGTTTCTTTAAAATTAAGCAAAATGCAAATTTAAGAAAAGTGAGGTCAAGGTCACAGGAAAGTTAAAAGTCAAACATTTTTGATGCAGTTGAATAGTTCTCACAAATACGTATCAGCATATCAAGTTTGATAAAAATATTTTAAATTGTTTATTTAAAACTGAGCTAAACACTAATTAAAAATAAATGAAGTAAAGGTCAAAGGAAATTTCAAGGGCAAAAAATATTGATGCAGCTGAATAGCTTACATCAGTACGTATCAGTAAATCAATTTTGACACAAATTTAAGAAAGTGGGGTCTAGATCAAAGGAAAGGTTAAGGTCAAAACATATTGATGCAGTTGAATAGCTCTCATTAGTATGTATTAGCATATGAAGTTTGATTAAAATATCTTGAATGATTTTATTAAAACTGAGCTAAACACTAATTTAAGAAAAGTATGGTCAAGGTCAAAGGAAGGGTCAAGGTCAAAAAATGTTGATACAGTTGAATAGCTTACATCAGTATGTATCACTGAAGAAGTTTAATTACACTATATTGAATGGTATCTTTAAAACTGAGCTAAACACTAATTTAAGAAAAGTGAGGTCAAGGTGACGGAAAGACAGACGGAAGGACGGACGGATGAAGGGACAGAAGACGGACATGAAAAACACTATATGCACCGGCCATATTCATGGCGGGGCATAAAAACAAGGTAAAAAAATTTTGTTTGTGTGCATCTTTCTCCATGTTCCAATATTGAAGTTTTAATGTCAAAAGGTTCTTAAGTTATGGTTTGGAGGTGTTTTTCTCAATTTGACCTTGAATGAAGAAAGGAGTCAAGGTCAACATTTTAGTGCAGTGCATCTTTTGTAAATGTCTATTTTCTATGTTACAAATTTGAAATCCTAATGTCAAAGGGTTCTCAGGTTATAGCCTGGACTATATTTTTATGTAAAGACTGACTTTGACCTTATCAAAAGGTCAAGGTAAAAAAAGTTTGGTGGCCTCAACCCCAATTTCATACCACCTCTCCATGTTTCAAGTGTCAAGTGTTAATGTCAAAGAGTTGTCAAATTAAGGCTCGGGCAAAATTTGATTGAAGAAGAAAACTGACAAAAACAATATGTAGACTAGTATGGTCTACTTGTTGCATCAAACCTGTAGGAGGAGTAGTTTTGAAAGAACAAATTTGTTTCTACATTATATAATGAAACTTTCACATTAGATTCAACTTTTCTTGCCTAGTGGTTCTTGAGAAGGTATTTTTTTCTTATACAGTAAAGCATACTTATAGCGAAACAAGCCTATAATGAATTGACACAGCAAAGCGATTTTCATTCCCCGTTACTTTAAAATATATTGTAAACTTAATGGATATAAGCAATTACACTTATAACAAAGCAAAATTTTCCGTCCCAGGCACTTTGTCATAAGCGTGTTTTACTGTGCATACTCATGTTTACAAAACTTTGATCCCCTATTGTGGCTGCACCCTACCCCTGACAAAGTTGAAGCTACACTAAGTAATGAAGTTTCACATAATTTTAAACTTTTCTGGCCCACTGGTTCTTCGGAAGAAGATTTTTGAAGTAACATTTAATTTTCACTCATTCTTATCTCCCCTTAAAAGAAGTTTGGCCCTTCCTTAAAAGAAGGTTTGGCCCTTCATTTGAACAATTGTTATGTTTTACACAAGAAAGAATATTTTGCATGAGAAATAAAACTCTTTGTGTTTCTAAATATTTCATCACACCACTAGTGTGTTTCTTCTTATTTTGACTAAGACACTGATGATTTAATTATGACTTTAATTTTGTACAGGACTTTGTATGATAATTATACCCTGAGGGGTATGTATACCTGTCTTCAACAAGTCAGGTGATTGTTCACAGTGAGTACTTTTCAAGCATAATTGATCAATTTCATTTCTGCCTACTGAAAATACTGATCTTGGGCAAATTAATAGGAGTTCCAAGTGAAATTTGTAACAAACCACGTTAAAAGAATTAGTGTAAAATCCTAAAAAGTCATCAATTAAAAAAACTGTCTTATAATTCCACTTTAATTTTGACTCAAGTAGATGTTAGAGAGAGAGAGAGATTACTCCAGGTATATAGCCCCATGCAAAATATATATATATCTGTGATAGCAAATTCTCAAGACACAATTTTTGAAAAGCAATTTTCCTTCATGCATTGTTTTCAGAAAACTCAAAGCTGAAAATTTAAAATTTATACCCATGTCACAGTGCAACTTTTATCTATATTGATAAAAATGTATATTAAAAAAAAGGATGATTAAATAGCTAAATCAAGGTGTTTTGAATAGCAAAACCAAACTATACCAGTATAGCTTATTCAACTACAGAGCTTAATCAATTTTATGAGATTGTGCAAGACCTGTTTTAATTCTTAATCATTCTTAAAATATTTAAATCACCATTCCTGATTCAAGGGAGAGCTAGGCATATGACCAAAAAAATCCA